AGAAACAGTCATTTTTTATTAGTAGTCAGTTTCATCAAAAAATACAGTTTTTATTGCCACAGTTGTCAATAATTAGTTAAGACTACTACTTGCTAACAGAAGTCTGGTTTCCCAGTGTATAACTATTTTTAAACTTATAAGAAATAGTATTGTATTATTAGTTGTATGTTTTATATAGTTTTTTTTGTAGAATTGTTTATTATAAGAATAGAAGACCCCTTGTAACATTAGTGTATTTATATAGCGTAGAACTATTTTTGAAATTCATACAAACCGTAATCTATTACAAATTGTCTATAATAAATTAAGAATATCATTTTTAAACAATAGTTAGACTATTAAGCCTAGAACTATTTTCAAAGTTTTGAGAAACCGTAATGTATTACTAGTAGTATGTGTCACACCATTTTTTTTAACAGTTATCTATAATAAGTAAAGAAAACTGTTTTTAAGAGAATTGTGTGTAATAAGCAGACAACTGTTTTAAAATCCTGGGAAATAGTAATCTAATACCATTTGTCTGTGAGATATAATTTTTTTGGCAGAGTTGTTTATAATAAGTTAAGAATACTCGTTTTAAACAGTGGTCTAGCTCTTAAGAGCCTAAAACTATTTTAAAAGTTCGGAGAAACGGTAATAATTTTTACAATGAAAATGTATACGCTCTCTAACTTTACTTTCATACTTTCGGGAAAAATTTATACAACAATCAAATAACCATTGTCTTAAAGAATTATATGGACATGGAAAAATAAACACTTCCATTCAAACGAAAGAAAAAGTACATGAACAGACGGGGTACTGTCCCGCTACACACAAAAGGAATTGGGAACCCATAAAATCAATCAATCTCACATCATAAACACCATTATCGTCCATACACACCTTCAGCCATATTTTTAACACCTTAGTTGGAAATCCTCCTAACAAATTGTGATTGGGAACCAAAAGTCGCAGCCATCAACAGATCTAAAAAACACGTAGTATTGTGTCTACATGAATCTGCAAAACATCAAAGTAAATAAAGAGCCCAACTACTTGATGCTAAGAATAGCAAATAGGCTGTCAGAATAGTTCAAACTCAGCATTAACCGAAAATCAGAAGCTAACAGTTGATGGCCTTTAAGGCTTGAGAAAGTTGATTATAATTTGTGATAAGATTACACAAAATGACATAAGTTTCATAATTTGATTTCCACCTTTTGGTCTGTTTTTTTCTGCATATTGTTGCATTTTCAGAATTTGATTTCCACCTTTTGGTCTGTTTTTTTCTGCCTTGAAAGTTCAAAATGTGGAGGGTAAGAACTACTTGAACACTATGTTGCGTACTCTTACTTTAAAATAAGTTCTGATTGGAACCAACACGTATTTTAGCATATACGTAGTATCTCGCATAGAATTGTAACAAAATACGCTTACTAAAATGTCCCTTACCAAAGAGTGTCACTACTTCTCCAAGTGTTATATATGCCATGATCTCCGAACAATTCTATCACATGTTGCCCACTTTTTTCAACACTTTGTCCACACAAAACAAAATGAGCATTGTTACGAGTCACAACCCCGAGATTACATTCAGCCCTGAATGACAACATTGTTAAACCCCAACTCCTCCATTAGGTCAAACCAATAAGTCTACCGTAAAAATAACAACCAATTTAACATATGAATATCGTCTAAATAAATATAATTTATTAACAAGAAGGGGAAAATGATTGATGAAGGGGTTTCTGAAGCCAATTTCTTCTAAAATAATGAAATCCAATTTAACATTTGAATTTCTAAAAACCTTTTATTTCTTGATCGAATAGGGCAGGTGGCAAAAATTAAATTTCTTCCACTAAAAATGAAATTCATTAACAAAAAATCAACAATTCAATCCCAAAAAAACATCACCAGTAGAATCAAACACATATTTCACAAAACAAAACCAAATCACTAGCTAGAATCAAATTGCCAAGTGGTAGAAGTCTCCAAATTCATTACCTATTCCAAAGAGAGGAAGGCACGACTGAACCTGGGCCGGCCACAGTCGCGACTGGTTCACTTGTGTGCTGACGCAAGGAAGGCGAGGGTGCTCCGACGCAAGGAACTCGCGTCCTTTCTCACATATACCTAATTGCAAAATTGGGGGGCACATATTAGGCGGACAATGAAAAATTGGGAGGGATTCTAAATTAGGCGGACAATCGCGTCCTTAAGTCTTTCTTTGTTTTAGGCTTTGTTTGGATTTGAAAGGAAAATGAGAGGAAAGAAAAGAAAATGAGAGGAAAGAAATGGGAGAGAAAATGAAAAGAAAATAATTGTTGTTTGGATAGTTAAAAAAGAAGAGAAAATGAGAAGAGGAAAGAAAACATGATTAAGCCAAAAGACATTAATGTCCTTATCATAAAGCAATAAAAAAATTAAAGAAAAAAAGTGTGCTTCGTAAATTAGAAAAGAGGCAAAGGGCAAACATGTCATTTCATGCATTTTCTCTCCATGTGTGAGTTTTCTCTTCAAAATTTGATGATGATGGCAGACCACTTGCAGCTTCTACTCAATTGGCCTAGGTCGCGCCACGTGGCAGCGTCTGGTTGGCCGGATTTTGATTCGGTCCGAATATTTTTTCTAAAAACATAGTCTTGCTCAAAATTTTATTTTGAACAACTTTTCCTTCTACACCGACTTCAAATTCCGAACTAATTTGGGTCAAACAAATTAATTTGGAATTGAACCAACATTTTTTTACTTTTTCACTTCAAACAATTTCTTTTTTTTGGTACTTTTTCAATTCGTTTGACCTCAAATCTTTTGACGGAGTGCATCGACACATTTGAATGCACAATTTTTACTACATAGTTTTTCACCATCTTTTGTCTTTTTGCTCCGTTGCATTCCATTTGCACAATCTTTTACACCTTTGTACCACTTCTGACCCAATTTTTATTCTTTTAAAACACTAACATAATTTTGTAAAGTTTTATAATTATGAATAAAAACTTATAAAAACCATTGAGAAATTAATTTGTTTAATCTAAAATTGGACAATAACACATTAAATATAGAGAAGAAAAGTGCGTACAAAACGGACTTATCACCTATACAGTTAAATTGATTTGTTAATATTTGATCTGATCTTACTAGATTTGAATTTGATTTGATCTGTTTTGATCTATATCTAATTTGATCTGATCTGATGTATTTATAGATTAGATCAGGCAAAAAGGACACGACTTATATAATTAAGTTGTTTTTTTGAAAGATTTGAATTTGATTTGATCTGACTAGATCTATTTTGGTCTGATTCAATCTAATTAGATCCGATATGATGCATTTAAGGATTAAATCGGGCAAATATGACACGACCTATACAGTTAAATTGTTTTTTAAATATTTGATCTGATCTTACTAAATTCATTTGATTTGATTTGATATTTTTGTAGATTTGATCTAATCTGTGTTTTTTTAAATACAATAAGTCGGAGAGTATGAACGATGATGTCTTTTAAAAAAATTGAGATGAAGAGTATAAAAATGAATTTTAAAAAATTATAATTGAGACGAGAATATATAAAAAATTATAATCGAGGATGAAATTTTATTTAGGTGGAAAAAAGTGCGCCCAAAAAATTAAAGTAAAAAATTGGATTCCCACTAAAAAAGTAGACTCCTTGCCGATAACCTGTCCAAATACATTCCTCAATCTCTTCCATCTCTTTATTATTATAATATTATTATACCCTCAAATTCTCCCAGGGTGTCAATCTCCTCCGTGCTCTCAAGATCCTCCCTTGAGTGTCAACCTGTCCAAATAATTCTTATTTATTTAATTATTGATTAACTTCTAAGCTGGTTTTCAGGGCGTTATAGAATTGCTCTGCAAAATTTTGAGAGGGAGTTCAAAAAGTTTCAGTGCAATGTGCAAAATCTTACCTTTTTAGAATGATTTTATATAAAAATTCGTATATAGAAAAAATTAAATATATTTTTAAATAATTAAATATTATTTAAAAAATATTAAAAAATTAATATATCAAAATTATTTTGCTCATTTTTATATAGGTTTTCCATCTATTTGCTTAAGTATTTTTAAAACTTTTTTTTAGTGTTTTCACTTCTTAGATGGTTCGGTTATGGTTTAGGTTTTTCAATTCAAATATCTTTCGGATATTTATTATGATTGGTTCGATTCAAATCAGATGAGTTTAGTTTCGGTTAAGTTCTGAGTCGGTACAGATATGGTACGGATATCAATCAGTTCAGATAGATTTCAGGTTCATATAGATTTTGGTTTAGGTATATTTCATTTTCATAAATACTTCGATTCAGATGTAATTCAGTTTCAAAACATTTCGATTCAAGTATATTTTGGTTTCAGATATTTTTTTAGATATATGTTATTTTCAAATTAAAATTTAACTATATGTGTTCCTTTTTTTGTCATATCAAATATATCAATCTATCATCAGTTCATCACTTCATACTACCTTACAAATTTTTTCTATATACGAATTTTTAAATAAAATCATTCTAAAAAAGTAAGATTTTGCACATTGCACTGAAACTTTTTGAATTCCCTCTCAAAATTTTGCAGGAGCAATTCTGTAACGCCTTGGAAACTGGCCTAGAAGTTAATCAATAATTAAATAAATAAGTATTATTTATTTACGACAATCTATTCATTTAAAGGATTAAAAGACACTTTAGAGATTCTAATTGTCTCAATATAATGAAACTAACTTGATTATATTTGTAAAGATTTAAATTAAAAGACTGGTCAATATTAATTAATCAAAAGAATTAAGACGGACCAGGTGGAACTGGTAAATGCTTGTTGATTAATTATAAAATTTATATCATTGGGTGGGGATCATTAAATTAAATACAACGACGCTAATGAATCTTAATTCGGAGAAAGTTGGCCTGAAAAGTATGTTCTTACTCAGACACGTTGTTGTAAATTAAGGATTACAAACCCTAAGATATATATAAAAAAAATTATAGTCTTCTACGGGCAGCGCCGTTTACTTCGATCTCCTTCTCCGATCGAGCAGGGAATCCAGCGCCATCGCCACCATCCTCCTCGATAGATGGAAGCAGCAGCGCAGAGGAAGGCCAGCGATCTTCTCCGATTGGAAAGTGTAGCAGCGACAAATCCCCAATCCAGTAATTCCAAGTGGCCGACGAATTCAACCCACCGGCGAAGCAACAGCCAGCGTCCAGCAGCGGCTCAGATTATGGGTGATTTGTGGGCGATTTGTGATCCTCTTTCAAGGTATGAGAGTGGATTTCATTCCCGTTTGATTTTCATTCGATTTGTGGATTTTGAGGCTGGGTTTACCCTGTTCATTTTGCGACACTGGAGTGCGATTGGCACTGGTCCATGCCTGATTTTGGGTCCAGCTTTTGTGGGTTCTCATTTACGATGTTGAGGACTTGTTTGTGTTGATTTTGGTCTTGCGGTCCAGCAAACTTGTTTGTTCTTCATTGATGGATGACTGTCTGGATTTGTACCACTAGGCATAATTAGGCATGTGTTTTTGTTGCTGTTTCCTTCTGGTTGGGTTGTGTATTAGGGGTGGTGTGGATTCTTCTTGCTGTGATGTGGGGGTGGAAATTTTCTGGGCAATGCCATAGAATTTGGTACAGGTTTGCCATTTTACCCTTGCATGCACCCAACATATAATTAATAGTGAAGACGATTAAAGGAAAAAAAGATATAAAAAAAGTGGCAGAAATACTATATAAGTTGTGCTCACTGCATTTTAGTTTCAGTCACCTCTTAAGGTACCTTATTTGGTTTGTCAAGCATCCTTTCAAAATTAAGGCACCTAAATTTTGGGTCAATTACTCAAACACATTTCTTAAAGTGGCAGGTAAAACTTAAACATGGCATATGCCATCACATGTATCGACACTCATTATCTAGTTAGTTTAATTTATAGGCCAAGGTGAACAAAATATCTTATCCTTAGAACAAAAATAGCTGAAAATGATGCCGGAACATCCAAGTGGGATGGTCTTGCTGCTCGTGTGGTACCCATTACATCATAGTGTGATGCATCAAACAAGAGTGGCTTTTGACAGCACAGCTGTTTCACAATCCATGATCATATGAAGTATGGTTCTGTTTTTGTTTATATAAAAAAACTCGGGATTATGATTAGGAAGTGGAAGAATGTGTGAGAGTGTTGCCATCATCCAACTATAAATTGTATTGCCAAGGGCGAAGCAAAGCAAGGTAAGAAAGACACGCAATCTATGAATAAGAGAAGCAGCAGAAATTAGCAGCAACTAAATTGGACTTGAAAAAGGGGTAAACCCTGATTTTTAATCATTTCTTTTGTTATTTTCAATTGCACAGTATACTGGTTGAGGCTGTTGTACTGATCTGGTGCATAAAATATGTACTCTACATTTACCTGCAAGAAATGGTAGTTGCTATTTCATTGAGATGCTAATTCGAACTACTAACTGGATTTTATGCAGTCTATTATTGTTGATGCTTTTTAGACTCTGTTACTGTAAGATCTATTAGGCTCTTGGCGATTGATTTTTGTATATCTAAGCGAAGTAGACTGAAGATGTTCAAGTCAAGGTCGATGAACATTTAATTTTCTTAAAAGAGTGAATATATTAATCTCATTTTGTGGTACCATCTCAGAGTTTTCATTTCTTTTGCTTCTTTAGCCTCCTGTTAAGGTTCTTGCCATATTCATTGATGAAGATAAAGTGCGAGAAGCGGGGCTTGGGGAGAACTTACGAGTTCGAGTATCTGGGATTGAGGAAGATGATATCTTATCAGGCTTTGTTTTATGCAGTGTTGGTAAATACCATTCAATTATTTTCTTTGCTTAGTCTACTTTTTCAATTTTCAAAGCTTTATGTGTGGACAGGGGTTGCTCAATTTGTCCATTGTTAAGCTTATTTGGAAGGGGTTCATCACGTTATCATTATGTTCTTTTATACCTATATAATCCTATCTCGGTTTTTACTGAAATGGATCTGTGTCTTGGTGCAAGAAGGCCAGTCCCTGCTCTTACATAGTTTTTTTGCGCACTTATCAATCAAGGAGCTGCTGCATAATGTATGAATTGAAACTTAGCATTTTTATTCTCTTATTTGCTTGTTATAAAACTAGGTTTATTGTATGTCGCATTCAGGTTGGCTTCTTAACAACACGACTTCTGCTCCGTGGTCTTCTTATGTTGTGCAAATAGATGAACTTCAATTGTTAAATAGATGCATATGAACTACTTTGGAGGTATTTAGCTAGCTAATAACTCCAAAAAGTTTCGAGTTTTTTTGTTATGAGCTCTTTCTTGTTATCAACAAACATTCTTTTTAATTATTCAATGCTATGCAGATTGAGGACTAAAGTGGATGCTTTACAAGAAAATATTGCTAGAGCAAGAGATGTATTCAAAGATGTTATTGAGGGGACAAATAACTAAATTAGGCATGCCGAATGAACAATTAGAGTGTGATTTTAATAATGCAAATATTAAATTATTGTATGTTATTTAGACTTGGATTGTATGTATTTAGATCTTATTCAATATATTCTACATTTTAGGATTTATTTTTGTTTCATGATCAATATTTTGGAATTGAAATAAATTTTACTTATTAAATATAAATGTAAATTGAAATATAGTAGTCTTTCAAATAGCTTTACAATGTATTAAAATAGTTTTCTAAATCTTTAAAGGATAACTACACAAACCTGTACTGTTAATAAACGTGAGACAATAGGAATAAACAGTTGTGTGAAATACAACAAATATAGTTGTTTACATTTTACAAATACAACATAGAATAGCAGTTGTCTTATGCAAATATACTTAGTTGTCTTCGGAGCAGTAGTTTGATTTACAATTTGACTACTGTGTAAAAAGATAGTTTGAATATTTCAAGGACAACTACAAAAAAGCGTAGTGTTATTAAGCATTATACAAGTGAAAGAAATGGTTGTTTAAAATACAACAAAATTAGTAGTCTACATTTTAGAAATATAACACAAGATAACAGTTGTCTGATACTATTTTTGTTTAGTAGTCTTCCAAGCAGCAGTCTGATATATCTTTCAATCACTTTTGAAATTAGATGTCTATATTGTTGAACGACAACACCACACAATAGAAGTCTGAAGTCGAAAATAACAGTAATATTCATTATTGATAGACAACGAAACATCACTGTTGTCTTTAACTCTAGAAAAAAGATGTCTTACTTATACGAGGACAACTTCAAAAACATGTACTCTGAAACATCACAAAATAGGTGTTCTCAACCGTATTACACAATTGTTTTTAAACAGTAGTCTGTAAATATATCAGACAGCTGCTCGGAAGACTACTAAAACTAGCACAGTTAGACTACTAAAAAGAACAGTTGTCAGCATCTGTTTTTGACGTAGTGTTCTAATCCCTGTTGAACACATAAATTTAAAACATGACAGGCACAACGTTGATGCAGAAATCTACCCATAGTCGTAGTAGGGGAAAAATTTCTTTAAGTTTAGGAATAGCAGCAGTATTATTAGTAGCATTATCAAAACCAAATGCAAACACTTTATCAACTAAGTAGTATTCCCGCGCAGAATACGCTAAAGCAATAGAAAAATATTTTCAGCAGTATGAGAATCATTGAAATCACCAATTGCAAGAACATGTTTATGCATAATCCAATTACTATTTATCCAATGACAAGTAACACCCATATAAGACAAATTATGATATGTTTGACCCCAAATTTCAGAACAAATAGTAACACGAGAATTAAAATTGAGAAAAAAATTTGCCAAATTTATTTTTTCAAGTTTATACTATCGAATAATTTCTTGTTTAATTGTTTTTCTTGAAAAACCTCTTGCTCACGGGTTTAATGCCTGTTGACAATAATCAATAAATCCAAGTTTTTCAGAAAACATGTATGGCAAATTTTCTTCAGAAATCATTTCGGCCATTTTTTGCTTATTTTACTCGTCGCTATAAGCAAAAAGGCCGCCTTTACCTCTGTTAGCAAACCAAGAAATTTGTGTTTGCACTTCTTGTCTTCCCTTCTTTTTCGCCGCGTATTTGGCGTACTCCACGGGATGCCTCGACCTTAGGTGTTTTTCCAGACCACCATAACCGCCGGAAACACCCATTTTAATGACGGTGGCACAATATTTACAAGTTCCATAAACTATGCCAACTTTTGTTTCTTTTTCAAAATGATAAACAAACAGATCTGATTTTAATTTTTTTTACCTTTGTCCAGACCTTGAGAGGTCTTGGGCTCACCTGCCTCCTCGTCGATGTCGTTGCGGTGTGGTGAAGGCTACTCGTCCCCGACTCCCCGTCCAGTCCTGCTTCATCAATCTCCTCGAATAAACTATCAAGAGTTTGGAGATTCGCGTCGCCTCTACCGGATATGTAGTGGTCGAATTCTTGATCCGTCAAAGCGTCGCCCATGAATTGATCAGGGATAGTAAGAAACAAAAAGACAGAGTGTCTACCTCGAGAATCGCGTGAGGTCGAATTGTCGAAGGTGGCTTTAGCTTTGCCTTTCCTCGAACTTCGGTTCACGGCGCCCATATCCTCGGACCTTCTACCAGACTCTCTCGACATTTTAATATATATATTTTTTGATATTTAAAAAAACAATATATTAAATTTTGAAAATTTAATAAATTTTCAAATTTTTATATATATTAAAATTTCGAATATTTCGAAAAGTAAAGAATATATTTAAAATATAAATTATATATTTAAATGATTTAAAGAATATATTAAAAAAATTAATTATATATTAAATTTCGAAAATTTTGAAATTATAATATTAGTAATAAACTAAAAATATATGATAATTGATAATATGAATAATGAATGTATTAATTATAGGCTATTATGTAATATATTAATATATATTTATATTATTATATGAGTATAAATTGTATAAAAATTGAAAAGAAATAATAACATTGAGAGATTGAGAGATGGATTGAGTATTTGAGTGTGAATTTTTTGAAAAAAATGGTATAATTTATAGTGGTACCGAAAATTTGGCACCGGAACCGGTACCGAGGATGGCGGTATCGGTACCGGTTCGCGGAACCAGTGTAATGCCCCGGCATGCGGTGACGGTGGCGGGTACCGGCGGTACCGTTGCTGGTCACGGTACCGAACCGGTACCGTGTCCACCCCTAAGTTCAACACAATAGCTTATATACCGATTATTTTATTCTTAAACTTCTGATGTGTGATGACACTATAACACTTAGTCTCTGGAAAGAATAAGAAAAAAGATATTTTCATTTTAATCTCTTCTCTCAACAAACTCTCTAGTCTCTCTTCTGTTACGCGGCCATGTGATTTCGTTCTTCTCTACCAAATCTTCTCGCTCGTAATAAATTACTCCTAGTGAAATTACCCAGTGTTTGGGAGGGTTTTTGTGGATTTGTTTCCCATTGGATTTAATGCAATGTAATTCTCTTTTAGCCTTAAATACACTCAAGATTTGTCTTTCCCTTTGTCATTTTCGGGTTAGGGAAACTTTTACTCCTTCCGTCCCCCAGTTTTTGTCCACTTTTGACTTTTGGAACTGTTCATCTAAGCACTTTGACTCATCAAATTCTCTCAATGTGTAAGCCTAAATATAGTCATGTGTGATCTTGTTTGATTTGTCTTAACATATAGATTATTAATATATATAATTTCTATAATTATTTAATATACAAATTACAAGATAAAATGGATTAAATAAGTGCATTGCATGGTGTGTAAAAATGAAAGTAAACAAATACTCTAGGACGGAGAAAGTAAGTGATAATATTGGGTTTAGGCCAAGGGGGTTTCGGCCTAGGGTGATTATTTGACCAAATGGGTTGTAAGTTTAGGCGGTAAGGAAAATAAATTTTTAAACCCAAAAAGAATCATAATTGTGGTGTGAGTGATAGAGCAAGGGCGGACCCAGAACATTCATACCATGGGGTCGCCGGTCGCAATTTAGAAACTTTATATCCAATAATCACGCTTCTAACAATAAATAAACAATATTCTACAATACATAACATTAAAGTTTATATATATTATTGAAAATACTAATTAAAAATAGTTCTACATTGCAAATGTGAAATACATCTTACAAATGATAACGTCTAGTTTTCATATTTTGAAAGTGATTTATTATTTTATCATATTTTGAAAGTGATTTATTATTTTATCATTGGTCACAAATTTTGTTTCGAACCTCATTCTTCACAAATTTCATGGCTGAAAAAGCACGCTCAACACTAGTAGTTGCTACCGGTAGAAGCAAAGCTAACCTTATGAGTGTGTAAACATGTTGATATGTCATATCCTTCTTTGTAGAAACCATTTTCATAGACAAATCAACAAGTCCATTTAAAGCAGCGAATCTACTATCAGTCCGGACATCCAAAATGTAATTCTCAAGCTAGTTTTCAAAAATCTTGATGTCAACTTCTGAAAACTTTGATGAAACTTGCAAAAAGGCTTTTGACGTTTTAAAGAAGGCACTCACCACAACTCCCATAGTTCAACCACCGAGATGGGACCTACCTTTTGAGGTTATGTGCGATGCTAGTAACATTGCAGTGGGTGCAGTGCTAGGACAGAGAGTTGATAAGAGGCTACATGTTATATATTATGCCTCTCGCACATTGAATCCCGCACAGCAAAACTACACCACAACAGAGAAGGAGCTTTTGGCTGTTGTTTTTGCTTTAGATAAATTCCGTTGTTATTTGTTAGGTACTAAAGTTATTGTTTATTCTGATCATGCAGCTTTACGTTATTTATTGGCAAAAAAGGAAGCTAAGCCTCGCTTGATCCGTTGGATTCTTCTCCTGCAAGAGTTTAACTTGGAGATCAAGGATAAAAAGGGCGCTGAAAACTTAGTGGCTGACCATTTGAGTCGCCTACAGGTCGAAGAGGATATTACTCCATTAGGTGATTTCTTTCCTCATGAAAGCTTACTTGAGCTTGATTCAGAATTGCCTTGGTATGCTGACTTAGTTAATTATTTAGTCTCTAAACAATTACCTATTGATTTGAATAAGTACCAAAAAGAAAAATTAAAAAGTGATGCAAAATATTATATTTGGGATGAACCTTATTTGTGGCGTTTATGTTCTGATCAAATTATTAGGAGATGTATTCCTAAAAATGAACAAGCAGCTATTTTAGACTTTTGTCATTCTCAAACATGTGGTGGTCATTTTGGACCCAAAAGAACTGCTAGAAAAATTTTAGAATGTGGGTTTTATTGGCCAACTATTTTTAAGGATGCTTATTTGTTTTGCAAATCTTGTGATAAATGTCAAAGGACAGGAAATTTATCTAGAAGAGATCAAATGCCTTTATATCCCATTATTATTGTTGAAATATTTGATGTCTGGGGTATAGATTTTATGGGACCATTTCCCAATTCTTTTGGCAACTATTATATTCTTTTGGCATGCGATTATGTGTCTAAATGGGTGGAAGCTAAGGCCACTAAAACTGATGATGCTAAAGTTGTTGCAGATTTTGTGCAGAATAATATTTTTTGTAGGTTTGGCATCCCAAGAGCCCTAATTAGTGACAAAGGAACACACTTCTGCAACAAAGTGGTAGGAGCTTTAGTGAGAAAATATGGAGTTACACATAAGATATCCACTGCCTACCATCCTCAAACTAATGGTCAAGCTGAGGTTTCTAATAGAGAAATAAAGCAGATTTTGGAGAAAACTGTGAGCCCCTCGAGGAAAGATTGGACTTTGAGGCTACCTGATGCACTATGGGCATATCGAACAGCATATAAGACACCTCTTGGAATGTCTCCGTTCAAACTCGTGTATGGAAAGGCTTGCCACTTACCAGTAGAACTCCAACACAAAGCATGGTGGGCAGTAAAACAATGCAATTTTAATATTGATGAGGCAGGAGTTCATAGGAAGTTACAGTTACAGGAATTGGAGGAAATTAGAAATGATTCCTATGAGAATGCTATTATCTATAAAGAGAAAACCAGGAAATGGCATGACAACATGATATCCAGGAAATCATTCTATGAAGGCCAAAAGGTGCTATTGTTCTATTCAAGATTGAAATTGTTTCCTGGTAAGCTTCGCTCTCGTTGGATGGGGCCTTTTGAGGTGGTGAAGATTTATCCACATGGTGCTATAGAAATCAAGGATCCTAAGACTTCCAAAATCATCAAGGTCAATGGACACCGCTTGAAGCCATACTATGAAGGTTTCTCAGCTCATCTGGTGGAATCGGAGGACTTGTTTGATCCTGACTACAATAGATGATTTGCTAGCTCTTATGTCGAGCGAACGACATTAAACAAAAGCGCTTATTGGGAGGCAACCCAATTATGATATATCCTTTCTCTCTAATTCATTTCTTTTTTTTCAATTCTCGTTTATTATTATTATTATTATTCTTTGAATTTTTTTCAGGAAATGAATAAAGCCACGTACTTATACTGTTTATGAGAGTGTAGAAACCAGAAAGAAATCCAAGTTGAAGAAAAAAATAAATTCCAAAGCTGTGCTGAAGTGGATCAACAGTTTTCAGGGAAGTTATTACTACTTATTTTCACATTTCTAATTTTTATTCCCTTATCACCCTCACTCCCATGGTTCTACATCTGTTTGGTATTTATCTTTTCATGATATGTGTGATATGCTTTCCATCCCTACACAATAATTTTATTTTTGGCATATATTGAGGACAATATATGAGTTAAGTGTGGGGGGGTGGTTAGGAATGTTTCAAGCCTTTTATCTTGAGGAGACAAAGGTACACATCTCCTTACTTATTCACTTAAAACAACTCCTGATTCTTCTCTCTGTCCTCAATGTTTGTCACTACAAATGCTGATTTTAGTAAAAGGGGCTATGAACATGTTGCTTTTTTGCATTCATCACATCTAGGAGGCCTTATATGCATAAAAAAACTGCAAAAAACTGTCCACTTAAGCACATTTAGGGGCTGAATTGTGAGTTTTTAAACTAGGCCAGACTGGATTGCATCTCTCTCCTTGATATTCTGGATATTTTGAAGATGCATTAATACCATTAAGGTTTCATAACTGCTTGCTAGAATTTTAGAAAAATCTGGATTTTAGATGTGATTTGGTCATAAAGTATAAAAAATTTTAAGTTTTTAAAAGAAAACTTAGGTTAAAGGAAAAAGTAAGCATCTCAAGAGAAATTAGGAATCATAACGGTTTCTCTTTATCTTTTAGCACTCTAAAGGTTGCATTAAAACATTAAATTTAAATTAAAGTTGTGACAGATAGGGTTAAGTGTTAAAAATGAGTTTGCTACCTTAAAGTTTAAATCACGGCTTTTAAGTCATAGCTAATCGGAACCTATTTTCATTTAATCTCACACCTTTCAATTGGCTAAGTTCAATGTGCACAATTTATTTAGAAGTGTGTAGAGCAGTTTTTTCTAACTCTTTTTTGTCCTAAGTTGCTTTTCAAGTAAAGTTAATCTTTTGGAAATCTCTTTTCTTACCTAAATTTTGGTTATCTACATATTATCAAGATGCTGAAATGAATAAATGTATATACTGGAACACCATCTTAGGTTGGCATGGGTGGCACGGCACCTTTGTCCCCTTAAGCAACAGATCCGAAAAGGAAGTGATGTTGTGTATGGAGAAAACCTGAGTTGGAAGAGCAAACCCCATTTTGGGCCGTACGAATCTCGTCCATAACCAGTTTAAAATAAAAAGAACCGACGCCATTGAGCCAAAAAAAGTGCAATAAATGGCTAGGGAAAAAAAAAGAAGAGAAAATAAATAAATGAGTAAAAATGTTGTTTGAGCACTCGAGTTGATACCCTCGGAATACTTCGTTATTTAGGTCCTGGGCTATCTGGAATGGGTCTGGGGTAGCCTGGTTGAGACTCGCTACACGGGTCAACTCAAACAACTAAAAAAATTAATATTAAAGCAAAGCAATAATTAAAAGTTTCCAGATTTCAGGCAAGAAAATAAATTTTCTTAAGCTTTTCTTTACTTGATTGTTTCTTAGGATTTCTAACTACTTTTTGCTGCTCTATTTATTTCTTCTAAATTGTTCTCAATGACCTTGGTTAATTCCAAGTTTTGACATCAAATAAAAATAGTTTCTACTTAGCGCTGAAGTGAAAGAAGGGCTTTAAAGTTTAAAGTAGCGAGCTGATTTTTAAGGTGTTTGCTCTGTTTGGTACAATTTTAATCTCTAAATAATGTTTTAAGCAACACCTTAGATTGTTGGAGATAAGAAAATTGTTGTGAATCCTGATTTTAACACAAGAAAAAAAAGAAACAAATGAATGTGAAAATATAATTTGCACGAGGGCGTGCAAAAGGCTAAGTGTGGGGGTATTTGATAAGTCGTCAAATTTCATATTTTATTCGCCCATATTAGGCATTTTTAGTATATTCCAAGTGCATTTCATACAAATTTAATCACTATTATGTTTATATAGCAATTTAGGTCATTATTTATATTTTGATCATAAATTGCATTCTTTTCAGTATTCTTTTACTTCACTATTTTTATTATCTCATTTACCTTGACGTAGGTCTTAAAAGTTGTTTTGCGAAGCATAAAAAGCTCGGTGAACATGTCAAGTTTAGATCCTGGGGCTGTAAAGAATTTGATGTGTAGGTAAATGGGACAAGTCACTTGGGACTTGACCCAATTGGTCATTAAGCAGCCCAGTCCAGAGCATCCCCAAAACAATGAAGAGGAAGCCGTCCAAACAAAGAAACGGAGTCAAGACCTGTGCATTCCTTCGTGTGTACCTGCGGCAGCCCAATCCACCAGTCCAGCAACTGCCCAGGTCTCAAAAAAATCAGCGGAAGAGTCCAGCGGAGTATGGGTAGCGCAAAGGGGATTCCAACTTTGAAACGGCAAGAGCAGCGTACGAGGCAGAAATTCAGGAAATTTGGAGTCCTAACCCTAGACGAAGGTATGATTTCCAGCCCTATAACTGCAGCAGGCGGCAGCGAGAGATTGGGGACGGAGAAGACGCACAGAGCAACGGACGCAGCGCAGCTCTCGACCAGAGTTCTTCTTCCTGCGCCAATTCTGGGTTCTACCTCTCAATTATGATTTCTTGTTCTAGAATTATGATTGGCTAGATTCTTAATTTCCAATTCCAAGTTAATACTCTATGATTTGATTTGTGAGATTTTATGCTTAATGCTTTATTTGTCATGATATTCTATGTTTTTTATGAGATACTTTTTATTGAATTCATCAGTTTGATTAATTTGGATGCATACTTTTTAATTAATCTTGTGAGTTTATTGCTAATTGAATCCTTGGTTGTTTGATTGAGATTTCATTCTAGTAGCAATCATGTTTTTTTTAAGGAAAATATAGATGCAAATTGAATATTTTTCCGTTTGGAAGAATGTTGTTTGGGTTGGCTAAGAATTTACTTAACTTTATGCAATTGAACCTTAAATCCTAGGCGTTCGTTATAGGGTTGGGTTGTCTTTTAGACTCTCAATTAGGCTTAATTGATGGTGTTTGTCACTTTTAAGTATTTTAGGTGAATTAGGGATTATTGTGCGTTTGCAAATAATCTACGCCAACTATCTTGATAAATAAATATCTTTTGTGTCAATGATCAAATCAAATTCATGAGTTAATACTTGGGATTGGAAACTTTCTAAACAAATTCTTTTAAACTTCTATTAGTTGCTCGGTTTACTTTTAGAATTTATTCTCTAGTTTTTTTTACAAAATTTTATTTAGTTTTAAGTCAACTTCAAGAAAAAAATATCTACGAATTAGTAGTTAACTCTTGCCTCTCTGTGGGATCGACCTGAACTTACCATATCTACGAGTTAGTTTAGTTTTATTATTTGGTGTTAAAACGACACTCACCAACGCCTATGGCGAGAATGGCGTAAAACGCCTCGCCAGGCTAGAGGATGGCGTCAGAAGGCCGCCACAGAGCCATAAGCGCCTTTGGCGAGAATGGCGAGCGCCATTCACAACTATGGCACAAAGCCAGCAATATCAAAAGCATTCCTCCCATAGTCTTTCTTGATCACTCCCTGTTTGAATAATGCTCGACTAGTGTTAATCCACTAATTACTAAGCGTTGGACATATCCTCGTTAGCGGAGATAAGAAGCTGACCTTTTTGGTTATAATGCCACGAATCTGACTAGCTGGGGTGACATCAATGCTGGGTTCCAAACGAAAATGCCAGAGGCGGCAATTTGTTCACCTAGTCCTCCACGTGTATTCAAAAGCTCTTTGGAAAAGGTAAGGCAAAAACGGTATAAATCAACGGAAGTCAAGGGAGCAACCACGTAAAACGGTATATTGTAATGGCGTCCGATATATCCTTTTCTACTAGATTAAACATGATGAAAGAATTAAAAGGCCAATGCAGATGAGCGTTACCAAACAAAACTTGCTAATTGAATAACACTCCTTATAATAATAAAGGAATAAAAAGACGATGGTGGATTAAGTTCCGTTATTAACACATTCATGGTAAGATATCCTAATCATCTTTTGCTTCATCTATTCACCTACAAACCATGCTCCAAATAAACCAAGACCCAGGAATGTATTTCAGGGAAACAAAGCTTGCTAACTGAATAACACTCTGTATAATGATATATGAATTAAAGATGCTGTAGAAATTATCATAAGTTATAGCTACTGTTAACCGCCTGGATCCCCAAATCAAGTAAAATCCCACGAAAGTAATAAAGGTCCATAATGAGCAAAACTGTAAAAAAAAAATCAATAACTGACCAGAAGACTAATGAGCTGGAATAATTGATCCATCCTCTGTCATGATATGTACATCTGCTCCAAACCCATCCTTGAATGTGGGGTCTTAAGAGGGGAGCTTTCCCTTCTTTCAATTTTTAGTAACAGCAAAGTAGAAGCATCAACTTTCCCATAGTTCCAAGATCCTATAGTCCTATCATTTTTAATAAAGTCACTCATATGATCCAACCAGTTTGTAAAGGATGTAATTTTAGCGGAGAAGTGACAAAATGAAATAAAACCATCAAACAATTATAGGATATGACCTCAAAACTCAAAAGGATTCAATAATCATTCCATTGTGCAATCCATCCTTGTAAATTGCGATCATAAAAATTCAAGATAAAAAAAGTAAAGCAAACTAGACTGTTCTTAAGCGCAAAACACACATAGAACAAAATTAAAGTGATGATTAAGCGTGTAAGATTATGTGAATTAGGTTAGGTGAATAGATGAGAGATTATGTTAGGTGAATAGATGATGAGATTAGGGTTTCTCAAAAGATGAAAACATGAATCTCGTCAATCAACAATGAACTGGTAACTTACCATGGCTACAGTTTGCTTTGCCCGTCCCGCTCTGTTGTCTGGTCTTTTGGGAGCCGCCGCCGCACCGGTTCCCAAAGTGAGCTTTCTCTACTTAATGCTTTAGTTTGGACGTTCCAAAGCTATAGCTACTCCAAGTGAACGCTAAGTTGGTTTTGGATCGTGCTCACCACCTCTCGCTGCTGCTGCGTGTTGGCGATGGAGACGACGATGGAGACAGCGACGATGTTGGCGATGGAGACAGCGACGATGTTGGCGATGGAGACGGTGATGGCGTTGGGCAAATGAATCCAATGGGCGAAGAAAAAAGAAGAGAATCGATATAGGGTATGGAAAAGGAAACCAGATCCACGAGTAAATAAAAATGAAAAGATAGCATCGCTTATACTCCGTAGTTAGGAACGATGTCTTTACATTTTTTTATATATAAAAATTGAAAAATAAAAATGGGTATTAGCATCGGTTGTTTAAAATAACCGATGCTATTGATCAATTACATCGGTTATTCCAAACAACCGATGCTAATACCCATTTTTATTTTTTATTTTTTATTTAAAAAAATCAAAAGCATCGGTTTTTAAAAACAACCGATGCCTTTGACCTTTTGCATCGGTTGTTTTAATGAGCGATGCAATTGAGGCGGTCAATCTGCCCATTTTTGTAGTAGTGTCCCTTGGATAAAAATCAGCCATTCTTAATAATGTAGCTTTGTCATAAGACTCAAACGATGAACAAGGGCTTAAACATGCAACACAATTTAACAACTCCGTGCTTGATACATCAAACCTGCTCCCAAGCTCCTCGACGAATCTATCAATTATCTCAAACAAGCAATCAAACTTGTAATGATGCAAAATTGTAACAACTGGAGCATTCCGTGCACGCTTATTTTGCTTCACATAACGATCATTCATGTTAGGCACAAATATATTATTCTTATAACAAAACTCCATGACTTCATTGCTGATTTTGTTCCACATATCATCTGTTCTCATGCTTTGAAAACGCCATTTCACAACTTGAACAAGTTTCAATGCATTTAAGAGATCCTGTTCACGTCTTTGTAGTGCTTGAGATAAATCCTGAGTAACTGCTAAGACATTAACCATGATATGAAGCATGAAAGAAAACTCAAAAGTTTGCAAATCTTTAAGTAAAGATTCTGCCTCCCCGCTAGCATCATTATCACTCAGACTTACCAGAACTTCAATCACAGAAGGAAATAATGCTTTCAAATTCAACAATGTTTTGTAATGAGAACCCCAACGAGTATCACCTGGTCGTGCAAGCATGAGTTGTTGATTCAATCCTCGACCTGTCTTCAATAATCCTTCTTCTAAAGCGGCTGTTAAATGGCTCATTTCTTTATCTCGAAGCATATCTTGTCGTTTATTAGATGAACAAATTTCATTAACAACACGAGTCACATGAAGAAGCAACCAATTAACCTCTACATGCCCTTTCACAGAAGCAACAAGTGACAATTGAAGTTGATGAGCTAAACAGTGAACATAATATGCAGAACTATTTTCATTTTGAATCAAGGTTTTCAAACCACCAAATCGACCTCGCATATTACTTGCTCCATCATAACCTTGTCCTCTTATTTGTGATATACACAACCCATATTGTGCCAAAATGGTTTCAAGCGCTTCTTTAAGAGAATGCATTTGTCTCTTTTACATGAACAACACCAATAAAGTGCTCAACTACAGAACCTGTAGAATCAACAAAACGTAAAACAACAGCCATTTGCTCCATCCCTGCGACATCACCAGACTCATCAACTAATACGATAAAAACATCGTCCCTAATTTTCTTGATAACTTCACAAACTGTTTCATACGCACAAACAAAACATATGTCTTTTTGAATTTTTGGTGATGTTAGAAGATTATTTTGAGGAGCATTTCTCATGACTTTGTCTAGATTGGAATCATGTTTTCTCAAGAGATCCAAAGTTTCAAGAAAGTGTCCTTTATATGCAGATTCAATGGATTCATCATGTCCACGGAATGATAGCCCCCCACTCAGAAGAAATCTAGTAACTTCAATTGAAGCATTCAATCGAGTGAGATAATCTAATTTCACTTGATCGGATTGTTTGACAAGAGAAGCACTAATACCTTGTTTTTCATTCATCAAATCTGCAGCTTTTTGAACAGAAATAAAATGTGGGCTACTTGGTCCACCCTCATGTTTTCTAAACCTACCTTTCTTGTTCCAACCTCTGAATCCAATACCCACAAAATGGTCCCCACCAACATCACTGATATTTTTAAACAAGTAACATGGAAAACAATATGCAGCATCCTTTGCAATGCTATATTCCAACCAAGGGAACTCATCAAACCAAGCTGGACGAAAGTTACGATTATAATCTGACATTACTGTAACAGGAAACTTATGAGCTTTAGATTGGAAAGGACCCTTTTTCAGATAAGAACGCCGAATTACGATTAAAAACATTATAAACTTAAGTACATACCCTAATTATATTAACATATTCACAAATCACAAATCAAAATCTTACAAAATAAATAAACGAATTCAATTCTATATTTTGCTATTTAGAATAACAAATTTATAAAAATTAATTTAAATTATCACAATTTACAAATAAAATAAAAATATCTAATTTAGATAATTAGATTTAAGAGAAAAAACCTGGTTGTTCGGGTAATTGGGGCCTTGGGGTCTTGGGGAGTTGGGGGGGTTCTCGTCGCCGTCGTTGGTTCCAATTTCAAGCGGCGGTCGGCAATCGGCGGAGGTTTAAAGTCGGCCTTTGGCGATCGGATGGTTAGTCTCAACAATTAGGTCTGGAGTCTGGACTCTGGTCTCTGGAAGTCGATCGAACTGGCTTAAGAGATAATCGAAAAAAAATAGAAAAAAAACGACGTCGTTTTAGATCACTCTTCATAAAAATAAAATGTAAAAGTCAGCACCATACAGCAGGATTCGAACACAGCATCGCCCACCCAAACACGGCAGCACGACACTCTCCACTCCTTCAGTGCTGGCAAGTAGAAACATGTAGCGTTTTGTAGAATATATACTAAATCTAGGTATTCATTATAAATATATATATATATATATATATATATATATATATATATATATATATATATATATATATATATATATATATATATATATATATATATATATATATATATATATATATATATATATATAGCAATGGATTCAGGTCTGCTTTGGATCGTATTTGGTATGGGCCTGACAATAGTCATGAAGACTTATGCAAATCACTTTTGAGAAGCTTTGAAATGTGTGTAGCCATTGTAGGAGACAGAGATAGTAGATTGTGCCAAGACAAGAAGAGAGCGCTGGAAGAGCATTGTGATGAGTTTAGGTCTTCTTGGAATGATTGGTGGGCAAAAGAGAAGAAAAGACAGTGTGATATAATGTTATTAGGTTTTGGATGGTGTTTGGATAGGCACGGCAAGGAGTCAAAGCAATGCCAATTTGAAGCTAAGGAGCTTAAAAAGTTCTGTGATATAGAAGTTTAATGACAAGCTGTTTTCAACATACTTTATTGATGATGATCCTAATTAGTTACGGAGTACTACCTATATAACACTCCCTCCGTCCAATTCACATGATGTTGTTAAAGAGGTTGGATTGAAATTATTTTCAATTTAATTTATTTGCAATATATATATATATATATATATATATATATATATATATATATAGTAAAAAAAATTAAAATTTTCGTGGGGTCGCTTGACCCCGTATGATCCTATGTGGGTCCGCCCCTGCTGATAGAGTGAGGCGTGCTTGGTCAATTGGGGGCATGCCTCATTTGGGCTAAACTAAATAGAGACTAAGCCAAATTCTTTCTTTCTTTGTATGGCGTTGTTAATAATCATCATATTGCCTTTGGCGGTAATCTGGTACTCTTTGCTATCAATGGCTTTTCGGAAAAGTCTTTTTTCTGCAAAAATATGGATACTTGCTTTCATTTTTTTCTAGTTGTGCCATATACGAAAAATGCAATTCAATATAACAAGGACATAAATACTTGATATGATAGTAGATTAGTAGTAATAGATAGTGATGGGCCGATATCCAGCGGGTGGCCCAAACATTTTACCCAGAAGGCACCGGGTCAAGCATGCGGTGAAGGCTTGAATCTGGGCCGGCCCAAGACGCGGGGCCTGAACCAACCTAATTTAAGAGACACCTGGAAGAGCCAATCTACGGGAGGAGACTCAACTGAAGGCGGGGACTTAGCCGGAAAAAGGGGATCGCGCCATTTGCGGATGAGACATCCTTTTGATTGTGAATTACCTTAACTATCCAAGAATCCATGTATAAATAGAGGGAACCCGAAAGGGGGATCCTCAAGTTGAATCAAACTAATAATACACATATAATTCTCGAGTTCTTGTTCTTATTTTATTTTTTGTGATCCATTCTTCTGAATTGGATCATTTGGTGGATTTATTGTCCATCAAATTGGTGCTCTTGTTGAGAGCTCGAGAATCATACTCAAGAAAAACCTTCCAAGAAAACAATGGTGCAAACCCGCAGCAACGCAAACCTAGGTACCGGAATCCCCCTCAGGGCGAGAATAGTGCCACCGGAGGCCGGCACCCTCCCATTAGAGTGACAGAGGCGGAGGCCCTCATCAAAAGGATCGGGATCACCGCGAAGTAGTTCAAGGAGGTGATGGCGGCCCTGACCCCGAACCGCGAGGTTGTGGTGGAGGATGCGACCGGGGAACCGGCTGGAGGGAAGGCTGGGCCTCGGGATCGGGGGGGAAAAAGAAGAAGAAGGTTAGGCGGTCCCAAAAGAAGAAGGTGACCAAGCCTAATGGGAAGGCAAGGATGGAGGATGAACTGTCCAGGTTGGACAAAGAAGATGAGTCGTCCTCCTTCGATCAGGTGTCAGCCTTCGATCGGTTGGGAGATCCCAAGCTCAAGAAGCCACGGACCTCGGTGTTCGATCGGCTACAAGATACTCAATAGGCTCGGAAGGGTGACCTGATAGAACAGCTCAAGGAAAGGAGAGGAGAGTCCTCAACAACATCCAAAGTCGGCTCGAAGGAGCGATGTAAGGAGGTTGAAGATAGGGCACTACAAAATTTTGCTAAAATTGCGACGGAAAAAATCTGTCGCAAACCCTTTGTTTTGGTCGCAGAGTTCAAAATTGCGACAGCTCTGCGACCGAATCATTCCCTCGCAAATAAATTGTCGCATTTTAGATATTTGCGACAGAATCGGCATTCTGTCGCAGTTCTGCGACGGTGTTAGCGACAGCAGATCAATGTTTTTATTTTGTACCCTGCGACGGTAGGCGGCCGCGGCGGAGGGCTTTCCCTTTCTACGTCGTTCGTCTCTACGTTCTGCGTCTAGTTGAGAATGAAAGAATTCACGACTTCCGGGGATAAGATTTTAATTTAAACCTGCGACGGATCTCATTCCGTCGCCAAAACCGTCGCAGGTAATGGTCAAAAAAATTGACCGTCAAATATTAGCGACAAACCAAACTTGCTGTCGCAGATCTGCGACGGGTAACCAAATTCCGTCGCAAATATTCCCAGAAATTAAATTCACTTGTTTTTGTCGCAGGTTCTGTCGCAATTTGTGACGGAAAAATTCCGTAGCAGATAATCCGTCGCAAATTGGACTAAATCTTGTAGTGGGGAGGCGATCGAGCTGTGGAGGATGTACGATCGTCTGGAGAAGCAGTTAGATCCCCAAAACCCATACTTCCAGGCGGTCTTTAGCGAGGTAACCCCCTTTTCCCGAAGGTTGATGTCCTTTCCTCTCCCGGACAACTCAAGAGCACACAGATCAAGGCATATAATGGGACGACCGATCCCCAAGACCATCTCGCTCGCTTCAGGGCGAACGTGGTTCTGTATGCGTACCCCGAAGAGATCAAATGCCGAAGCTTCCTAGCCACATTGGAGGGACAAGCTTGCGAATGGTTCCATAAGTTGCCCAAAAGATCGATCGACAAGTGGAGTTACCTGGCCCATAATTTTTTGGAACACTTTGCGTCCAACCGAAGGCGGAAGCTCCCATTCTTACACTTGCTTAACGTGAAGATCCAGAAGGGGGAGCATCTTCAGGAATTTTTTAATAAGTGGGAGAAGGAGGCCATGGACGTCCAGGGGCGGACGACTAAGCCTTGATCGCGATGCTCCAAGCGGCACTCCCTCAGGAGGATGTGCGCAAGGAGCTGCGATGGAATCCACTCTCTACCTATTAGGAAATGCTGGCTATGGCAAAGTACCTGGCGTTAGAAGAAGAAGACGACGAGCCGCCCGTCTAGAAGGAAAAGAAGAGCGGACAGTCAACATGAGAAGGAAGGAAGAGGAAAGATATTGGTAGGGGACCAAACCCTTCAGGATATCAGGCGAGCAGACCGCCTATTCACACGGTGCAATTCTTACCCGTCCCTCCTCGCAGTAGGGAGAGTTATAACGTCCAAGACGCGCCCAATTCAAGTACTGCGAATACCATCGTAACAGCACCCACAATACGTTGGAGTGCGTTACGCTGAAGAAGGAAATGGATCAGTTGATTGCCAGGGGGCCGCCCCCTCGGCCAGAGCGACCAACGCTGGGAACAGAACGTGGAGGAGACCAGTGGCCGCCACCGCAACGATCACTGCTGCAGGAAGACAGAAGGCGACATCTGGGGAAAGAATGTGAAGACCTAGATGAAGAAGAGAGGCAGAATTGCCGGCATTTGGGATGTCGATTCATTATGAGTGGAAACACCGGATGGGACTCAGCGTCCTCACGGAAGAAATGGAAGAATATGGTTCACCGCAGGGGCCACCGCTACCCAAGCGGAAGAAGAAGGAGCCCTTGATCTTCACGGATGAAGATTACCCGCTGGTCCTTAGTCCCCATCGGGATGCACTAGTAGTAAAGATAGAGATCAACAACGTGGTCGTCCATCGCACGTTGGTCGATACCGGCAGCTCGGTCAACAATATGTACAACAATACCTTCAAAGAGCTAGGCTTATCTCGGGGAGACCTTAAGCCAATCTGCACCCCGCTGTTAGGATTCACGGGGGATACTATTAAAGCAGAGGGAACCATTACAGTGAAGGCTGGGGTAAGAGATGGAACCCACTAACTCTGGCTCGACATGGAATTTATGGTAGTGCAGCTTGATTGTGCACACCACTTAATCCTAGGGCGACCGGGTCTGGAAGACTTGGAGTGCATAATCTCCCCCGTCCACTTGTGTATGAAGTTCGCCACACCTACCGGGGTAGGGGTGGCAAGAGGGAATCCGAGTCTATCCTGATCGTGCTATGTTAGGGCGACCAAGAACCAGGAGCGGGTCGACGAAAATGTCAGCATGATCTGTGCCACGATATAGAAGGAAGAAGGGCGACCCACAGCGGAGCTGGCAGAGGAAGGGGAGGAAGTTGCCCTGGATCCGGCAAAGCCGGAGCAAAAGCTGAAGGTAGGTAGATCCCTGCCGCTCAAGCTAAAGGAGAAGTTGGTGGGCGTCCTCCGTTTGTTCAAAGTGTTGTTTGCCTGGGGTCCAGGGGATATGCCTGGGGTCGACCCACGAATCATCTACCACAGATTGGCGGTAGATCCGGCCCACAAGCCGATCAAGCAGAAGAAGTGTTTCCTCTCCTCGGAAAGGAGAGATTTTGTCACTAAGCAAGTAACCACCCTGCAATCCATCGGGCACATCTGGGAAGTCTGCTACCAGAGTGGTTGGCAAACATAGTCCTCGCACCCAAGGGGAACACCTGGCGGATGTGCGTTGATTACACCGACCTAAACAAGGCTTACCCAATGGACCCGTTCCCTCTTCCCAACATTGACCAATTAGTGGACGAGACGGTAGGGTGTGAGTTAATGAGCTTTATGGATGCCTTCAGCGGTTACCATCAGATCAGGATGGCCACGGCAGACGAAGAGAAGACCTCCTTCTTCGCCCCCAATGGGGTATACTGTTATAAGGTAATGCCCTTCGGCTTGAAGAACGCTGGCGCGACTTATGCACGAATGGTCAATAAGCTATTCACACCGGTGTTAGGGGGGTGTATGGAGGCGTATGTGGATGATATGATTGTCAAGTCAAAGTAGATGGTATCCCATGCTCAGAATTTGGAAAGGGTGTTCAAAATCATGAAGAAGTACCAACTCCGCCTCAATCCGAAGAAGTGCATGTTTCAGGTCCAAGGAGGCAAATTCCTAGGACATATGGTCAGTCGAAGGGGGATTGAGCACAACCCTAAAAAGGTGAAGGCAATCTTGGAAATGGAACCTCCGCGAAATGTGAAGGAGGTCGAGCAGCTAACAGGGAGGATCGCTGCTCTCAGTCACTTATTGTCGAAGATAGCTGATCGAGCGGCACCATTCTTCCAAACCATAAAGAAAAGCAGAGGCTTCATCTTGACCGAGGAGTATCAGAGGTCCTTTGAAGGGTTGAAGGCGTATCTCCTCTCGCCATTAGTACTTTCGAAGCCAGAGCCCGGAGAGACCTTGTTTCTGTACTTGGGGATCTCTCCTCGCACTGTGAGCTTAGTACTGGTAAGAGAGGAGGATGGTATTCAGCGACCTGTGTACTATGTGTCTCGGTATTACGAGGGGCAGAGCTAAGGTATACAAACATGGAAAAAACGATCTTTGCGGTGGTGTGCATTGTAACACCCCACCCTGGATTACCCGAGTCATCCAGACCAGAGTGCTAGTAAAAACTGGTTGCTGGTAAAACATTACTTATTTGAAATAAAATCTCATTTCGATAATCAAGAGTTTAAAGATTTTTGCAAGTAAGTAAAAGAGGAATAAGGTTCACTAGTAAATACAACTTGGGTTTCAAGCCCAAACCAAAATATGTTTAATAACTTATTCAATTATTTATTTATAACAGAATTTCCTTCCTTAATTAGCACGGCCTCCACGTCCAAGCTTTCCTCCTCAGCAGTTGTTCCCCTTGCTAGTACCTGCGTGCAATTAAACACTACACGCTCAGCATAAGCTGAGTGGCAAATAACCAGTAGACATATATAACATGTAAATATATTTTAGAGCATTTTAAGTTCTTTAATATAATTCCAATGTTTTTCACATATTTAAAATCCTGGAGAAAATAATCTCACTTTAGTAATTACTTGAGGATATTTAGAAAATATTAGTTTTTCCTTCTAGGTTAACCTTGTATTAGAGATTAAGACGTGACTAGGCTGGAACACCGCACTAGTCGATACGTAGTTTTACTTCGGATACCTCCCCGTGACCTCGTGTCTGGTAATCAGAAGCGAACCCTAGACCCACGGGGTCATCTTTGGGTTCTCGTGCGCACGTTGTGGTATGATTGTTTATAGGCTCATCCACATGGACACAGTCCGGCCTTGAAAGTGGTTTGACCCACTTGGTAAAAACGTGACAGTACTTGGTCAGAGTACGTCGATATATAAATCTTGAACTTTTACTTCGTCCACTAAATGTTTGGTTAACCCTAGTACGGTCATTTAAATAACCACTTTTGATGTATTATTTTTAGGCATTAATCATTCCAAAATGATATATCGGTCCTTCATATCAAAACAGGTAAATGATGTAGGAAGCAATAAAGCACCACCTAATTAGTACCAACAAGAGTGTATAAATTCCTACACTCCAGTTTATATATCAACATAGTAATATTTCCAGGCGATAAAGTCACAAATGGTATTTACTTATTTATTTCTTCATTGTTCAAAAGTTTGGTCCTGTTAAAGAAAACACAAGTTTTTTTTATTTGCTTCTTAATAATCGTATTACCAAACCCTTTTTTTCCTAATTGGGAAACATTATAAAAAAATTTTTTTAAATATGTATGTACATGTCTCAAAAAAAACATACACACAAATGTTTTGTGTTTGATCAAATCTTTTACTTTTCCAACAAATATCAGCCCTTTATTTACTCGGCAAATTTTTTTTATTTAACTTAACAATGTTTTATGTATATCATGACATACATTTACACAATATTAATATATACGGGGGTATGTAAATAAATTGCACAAAAGGAAAAAAAACAACATTTTTTTTGAAGTACATACTGCCTAAAGTTTGTTTGCATACACAAGTACTCCGTAATATTTTAGTAGTAATAACCATTCCATTTTTTTTTACTATTCCCGATTGATTATATACATATGATTACCCAAAAATGTTTTTTTTGTAACAACAACTAAATTCAGTTTAATAGAAGGTAAATAAAATGCACAGATAAATATTTCAACATGAAATACATATCTAAAGGTTAGGGTCAACGGGCACACCTCCGATATCGCTAATGACACGATAGATGAACAAAACTCTCGAGAACACCCGGCCCCCCTCGTTACCACGCTAAGTTGCCCTCCAAACACTCTCTCCCAACCAAGTCCCCTCAACTAATTACTCAAGGCCTCTACTTATAGGTGAGAAGGAGGGTAGATGGATGGTTTTCTATTTGATTAGTTCATTTTCTCAAATTAAATTAAATGTATTAAAATTAATTCACTATCCCCCTTTAATGGTAGATGAAGTGAATTGGGGAAGTGGAGGTGACAAAAACCTATACCGTTAAGTTCCATATTTTTCACACATCATTTTAATATAATTTGTTTGTCACAAAAATAAGTTCATTTGAACAAACTTTATTATTCAAATGGTAAAGAACCCAAACTAGTTTTTATCCCCTTTCACTTTATTCTTTTTCCCAACTCTACTAGTAATTTAATCGTTTAAATTAAATTCCAAATTGATTGTTTCTAACTAAATAATAGTAACATTTTTTTCCTTTATTTTTTTTTAATTATTATTACTATTATTTTTTTTGAATTTTCTCTTTTTTTAAATATTTTTATTCCTTTGTACTAGAAAGTTAAAAATTTCTAGACCGGTTTCCAGCGCGTTACATTTCTCACCCCCTTCAGAAAAATTTCGTCCTCGAAATTTCTTCAAGTCATATCACACCTGGTTAGGAAAGGAGTGTTTGTTTTCATAAAAGAAATTTCAAATTTAAGTTTAGACATTTTTTTTACGTAAATAGTATTTATACTTACGATTAATTAAAGAACAAGATTTTTAAAGTAGCAAGAAAATCTTGATACTTACGATTCGTATATTACCAAATGACATACACAATTGTGGTTGAAATAATATGTATAGTACTCTTATCTATACTTTAGGAAAATGTACAACACTTTCTTTTTACGGAGTATTATTTTCCTAAAACTTCCCTTGCATAGTAAATGTAGTGGTTGTATTAGCCATGACTATAATCAAGTTTTTAACAAAATATACACAAATTATTTCATGTGAAATTGTAAAACTGAAAATTAAATTCTCAAAATATGATTGCCCACGTTATGTACCATAATTATCTACATACAATTTTTATTAGTCAACCATTTTTTTCTCCCTCAAAACCTCGTCTAAAAAAACGCACTAAAACATTACATGATCTTATATCCTTAGCTTGCTTTAAATGTCACTTTTTTTTGCTTTATTTAATTCCATATTACTCATTTATTATTTTCTCCTTATTATTTTATTTGAACATACTCACTCACTGTTTTATATCCTCCAAGAGTCTAATAGTTCTGATTTCGTAGCTTGAAATAATAATTATGCTTAATTTGTGTATGACCAGCAAGTAATCCCATAGATCTCACAATATGTATGCTATTTACACAGGTTCTAAAAGACTTAAGAATTTTTTTCCATTTTTTCTTATATCCATGAAAAAAATCGTGTTCAAAATAAATATTGCAGATTGTGTTTCATATTTTTCTAAAATATTATTATTTTTAATTGAAATAGTTGACTACAAAAACTCACATGTATTATAGTGTTATTGTTGTTCTAACAACATATATTTCAAAAAAACATATATTTCAAGTTGAAAATTATTACAATTATTAAAAGCATTCATACACACTAATTTCATATTCTTATACCCACATTTAAAAAAAACATTCCAATTCCAAGGAGTAATATCGAAATATTTATTTATTTGTAAACTCACCATTGTCAATATTATATATTTTTTTGTGAGATAACCCAACCTAACTTCATATCTAGATTTTTCTTTAAATTTGTTCCTATCTCAAATCACTCATAATAACATCTAATTTGTAATTATCATGGCTATTTTACAAATATTAAAATTAAAAGTTGTAATAATTAGGGATGCACAGTCCTCAAGAATCTCTTCTAGGCGTTTATGAATTCTTCAATTAATTTACCAACTTCCTTTAAGGTTATTCATATATAATCAAGTTGAGTACAATGATTCTTGCGAGGTTTACATAGAGTCTAACATATTGTCAAATTATGTTAAACAAACAAGCTCCTTTTGAATGGTACATAATTCAAAATAAATTTTTAATGTAAAAATTTCTCGTAATAAACCTCATTTTCATTAGAATTATTTTTTTTGTATGGCAAAATTTATAATTTCTCTTGAGAATACAAATGATACTTAATCCATAAATTATAACCAATATTCGGTTACAGCAACTTCCGAACAATGACCATTTGTCTTTTCTACATTTTTAATATCCATAAAAATGTAACACATTTCTTTAATCTTTTTTTCAGGCAGCGTTGGCTTTCATTAGTCATATGTCGTAATGTACGCCTGCTACCTTCTTTTTTTATGATTTTATTGAAATATTTTTTTTCTCTTTTATTTCCACTTACCATTATTCAATTAATTGTAATAGGCTTGTTTGTTCTTGTTGCATTTTTTCCTCTTTTTCTCATTTTTTTTGAGCCAACTACTACATACTCATTGTCAATTACAAGTAACAATATAACTGTATTTAGTTATTCACGTGTCATAGATACAAATAATATCATTCTACAAATCCAGAAATTTTTTCACATGAGAAGGTTGCACAAAAAGTACAAAATCTTTATCTTTATATATAAAATTTGAGAGTTGGGCTTCTAGAATTGTGACATGTGGCACACTTATTGGACAATTTTTTGACATGTCAGCACGCCATGTCACCAAGTAATATTTAAGGAATTAGTTAACAAAAAACTTATTCTATTGAAATTAAATTTCGTATATGTTACACACAAATTTCTCAACTTAATCGCGTTTAAAAACTTTTATATCTTAATTCATTGTTGAAAAATATTTTAATTAAATAGTATATTTTAAAATTGAAAAAAGAACTCATATTCAAAAACAATAATTAAAACAAATAAATTTATTCTAAGAATGGATAGATTGGTGGGATTAAAAGAAATTACATTTGAATAATTGTTTTTACTTTGAATTAATACTAATTGGAGAGGTTTTCCAATTTTGAAAAAAGAAAAATAAATATACAAAAGGAAATGGATTTTTATGGGAATGTTTATTTAATATAGCATCAATTTTATTCCGTATATATTAAAAAATTATAAGTATTTTAAAATTAGTATTTTCATTTTTAAAATTATTATTTTCCATCACTAACTTTGTAAAAATTCATAGATACGTGCCTCTAAATTACTTTTTTCAATTAATAATTTGTATAATGATAAAGAGTTGGTACGAGGATATCTATGTGTAAGAAATTAATTATTAATTGGTGTTCCCAATCAAATTATAATATCTCCACACTACACGAAGTTGTTGCTCTAATACTTAGAGATCTTGATTCATCTAATGAAGAAAGGGACATTATTATCGCGAAAAGAGATGAATTCTTACTAAAAATCCATGAAACACACACGGCTTTTCTACCTCTCTAATACTCTTTGTTGTTTCCTTCTGGGGAGGAGGAATATCAAGAAAATATCCTTATAAGGGAATCATTTTTGTGCGAAAAAATGTAAAGCGTCATAGAGTGTCAGTGAGAGAATTTGTTGCATTTCAAATGCAAGAAAGAGAAAATGATGGAAGTATTGAGTTGCTTGCATAAAGATTGTATTTACAATTCTTGGTTGATGCATACACGATAGTTGAAGCACAAAGAAGTATGTGTGTGTGGTTAAACCAGAATCAAGTTAGGGAGAAATTATGAGTGGCTTACATGAAGCTATATGATCAAAGTTGATACTAAATCGATAGCCATTGGGCAAAGAATTATCCTATCATTTACATTCACTGGGGGAATGAGATATATGTTTAACAACTAACAAGATGTAATGGCCATTTCTTCAGCAGTTCAAGTTTTGGTTATCCATATCTATTCATTAATATAACATGTAATCTCCAATGGCTAGAGATTGCAACATATATGACAAGAAGGAAATGTGAAGCTGAAGACATACCTAATGTTGAATTTGAAATCTTTAAAATGAAATTGAATCATTTGGAGAAGGACATAAAATTTGATTTATATTTGGTGAAGTAATTAGAGGTAATTTTAAACTTTGCTATATTAGTTTCATTTAACTAATAAAGTTGTTGTAGTTTGGACATTCAATTTAAAATACCGTCATTTGAATGTAATAATTTTGTGCATGTTTGTACACTGTTGACTTTCAAAAGAGAAGTTTGCCCCATGCACATATCTCAATATGGTTACATCAGAGGGATAAATTTCAATCGCTCGAGTCAATTGATTGTGTGATATGTGTAGAGATTCCTAATAAAGATAAATATCCTAGATTTCATGAGTCCATGTGGCATAGATGATCTTAGATCTCTATATATGAAGAATGGTAAACACATGAAAAAATTTTCCCAAAAAATTTGTTAAGACATCATTTGATGAGAATGGCTACTTGATATACAGAAGAAGAAACATGGAGGTTACCACAATGAGAAAGAATATCGAGTTAGATAATTGAATTGTTGTGACATACAACCCACAACTCTTGATGAGGTCTCAAGATTAATCAATATTGAATGTTGTAATAAATCTAATTCAATCAAATATTTCTTTAAATATGTAAATAAAGATCTAGATATAGTAACTGTAGCAGTTATCTAAATTCTTTCAGTTTTACTCATAGCTTTGAAAGAGGAAATTGTGAGTGCTACCACCAATTCCTCACAAATGTGGTTGTAATGTAAAGTTTTTACGTTGGTCAAGAATTTGAGATTGCATTTATCTACACCCTCTTGCACAGATAAGGATACACAAGCTTTTTCTGTATTGATAATCAAAGTCGAAGATGAAAAACTTGGACAAGTGATCGATGAAACTACTAATGTTGAAATCCCGCCTGAATTCTTGATTTTAACACAAGTTATCCCCTTATGAGTATAATGGACTTCACTTTTCCGAACATATTAGAGGACATGAAAATTATTCTTTTTTTAGGATAGTGCACTATTAGTACTATACCCATGCATGAGTTTGTTGAATGGTAAGTGATTTTGTCATATCACTTATTCTCGGAGGTGAAAATGAGTACTTAAGTTCGGATTCTTCATGTCAAATATATTCATATGTAGTTGTTGAAGACGATCGGATAACAGTTCAACTTTTAATGAAATCAATTGTTCAGGGATCCCAAACTACAAAACAATTTTTAAAAAAGGGGTAGCGATTATGTTATTGAAGAACATTGACCAAATATCTAGATTGTGTAATGGTAGAAGAATAATTGTTAAAGAGCTACGAAAGAACATTATTAGTGCAATTGAGGTTTCGAGAAATCACATTGGGAAAAAAGGTTTACATACACCGAATGAATTTGGTACTATCTAATTCAGGACTACCCCTTAAATTCTAGAGAAGATAATTCTCAATAGTCTTATGTTTTGCTATGACTGTTAATAAAATTCAAGGTCAAATATTATCTTTTGTTGTATTATTTTTAACCAAATCGGTATTTACTAATGATTAGCTTTATGTTAATGTTTCACGAGTGAAGACAGAGACATGATTAAAAATGTTGGTTCTAGATAACAATAGAAACCCTTACAACTATACTAAAAATGTTGTGTACCCTAAAGTTTTCCAAAAAAATTTGAATTATGGAGTAAAAAAGATTTTTTCGAGTACACTTTCAATTCCTCATATATTATTTATTCTACTTTGCTGTTGTTGTCCATTGATTAAAAGTTATGTTAGAAATATATTTACTTGATTCCGAAAAATATATTACATTGAAAAAAAATCAGAATTAACAAAAAATTCGTTTGACCCCGTGCATCGCACGGGTCAAAATACTAGTAATCATGATTCTAGGCTTTATTATAGAACCAAAGGCAACACCATTTTCATTTTCTGCATGTTCCACATTCATAGTTATATATGAATTAAATTACTCTCTTAGTAAAAGAAATAATTTGATACCCTATCTACTGACCTTCTACGGTCATTCCTCAACATGATTGTCTAGTCCTCGGTAAAAGAAACTTATATCTTACAAGACTTGGGGCGTCCCCCTTTTGTCCAACCATAACTACTATTCGGTGGTACCAAACCGAATTACATCTGTGCACAGATTTTAGGATTCTAGATTGCCATGCAGTCTATCTATTGGCCTCTAACTTTGTATCTTGTATACTACCAATATCCTGATATGAATTTATAAACTATTTTCACAATATCTAAATAATGTGGTAGCGCCAAAGGTAATATCTTGTAATTACTTTTTTTTATATTTCAATCAATATCAAAACTATGTGCTTTGCACACAAGTTTAAAGCCAAATTAAGATACCTGCTTGGAGGAAGCATTGAGACGTGGCCGTTCCTATAGAACAATTTTTGTTTTAAAAATAATTTTTTCATTCCCTTATTTCTTTCCATCAAATTTTTTCTTCGATTCCTTTTTTAAAGTTAAGTCAGAAGATCATTTTATAAACCAATTTCTTTGATACCAAAATGTAACACCCCACCCTGGATGACCCGAGTCATCCAGACCAGAGTGCTAGTAAAAACCGGTTGCTAGTAAAACATTACTTATTTGAAATAAAATCTCATTTCGATAATCAAGAGTTTAAAGATTTTTGCAAGTAAGTAAAAGAGGAATAAGGTTCACTAGTAAATACAACTTGGGTTTCAAGCCCAAACCAAAATATGTTTAATAACTTATTCAATTATTTATTTATAACAGAATTGTTAAGTCACAAAATGTCGTATTTTATTCCCCCATTTCTTAGTACTTTTAAGATATTTGATGAGCATTTTATACCTAAATGAGCATATTTTCTAATATTTAGCATTTTAGGCCATTGTTTATATTTTATACATAAAATGCATGATTTTGAGCATATTTATATTTGACAATTATTTTGGAATATTATTTTCATTGGCATGAAATTTGTAGATAATACATGGGAGTCCAAAAAAGTCAAAGAAGATATTGAAGTTGAATTTTTGGAGCTTTAAAGTTGGCCCAATCCAAGTTTGGCCCAAAGCTATTCCATCTACCAAATAAATTAAGAGAGGAGGAAGAAGAGCAAATAAAAGAAGAAAAAAAGAGAAATCTCCCAGTGAATGAGAAACGCAGGAGAGAAGAGGCGCAGAGTCCTTCCCCAAATCCAACGCAAATTCCAAGAATCCTACTCCAAATTGAAGATTCCAAACTCCACGATTATAAAAGGAGACAAAAGCCACAAGAAAATCATCTTCTTCAACCCCAAATCCAGAGGGAGATCAGATAGCCGAGAGAGAGGAACATAGCAGCGGCAAGGATTTCCACCGCCGACCTAGGGTTCCGACCCTAGGTTC